GAAGCCTAAATTAATTAAGTGATCCTGAGGCTTGAGAAGAGGCAGGGAGGCAGGATAAGAAGTCCAGGGTAAACTGTACCCCATCCCCCTGTGTTGGAATCCAGAGGCTCATGAGCTTTGTTGGAATTAAGCCCGCACTTAAGTGCTTCCAGGGAGACAAAGAAATAATAAATCATAAGCAGGTGCCCCGCCCATATGCTGCCACCATCACCATGAACCTGCTTCTGAACAGAAAGTCATTTCACATCTCTGGGACTAAATATCTAAGTGAAGCAACAAATGGCAAGGCCCTGGAACTGATTTGGACCCAGAAAGTAGGCCAGGACTCCACACAACTCTCCCAAAACATCCCACCACACACACACTAAACCTCATCCAGATGCAGAGGCAAGATGGCTATCCTTCCAATCTCTTCCAATTTCACACACACAAGAACTCCCAGATTCCAAAAAAAGATCCATGTATGGCATTGGTCCGGTTCAGAAGGGACTTTATTCTAGCAGAATGAGGCCACACTGTATCCAGTGAATAAAATGAGAATAAAAGTTGTCATCTAGAAATAAAGATATCTCTAGCCATACAAAATAATAATTATTAAGTTCCTACAAATTTTCAGGCGTTGAGGAACATACTTTCAAGTAAGTTGTCTCATAAACTTCAGCCATCCTGGAGCAGAACAGCATAGCTATTTGAGAACTGGATGCTGCAGCTAGATAATCTGCACTTGTGAGTTGGCCATGAATCTATTCTGTACTTCTGCATTCCTGACTATAAAAAGGAAATATGGTTGTTGGTAGGAGCATTAAATTAATCAATGTTTGTGAATGCTTACAATGGTACCTGGCACATTACAAGCACTACTATGTGTCTAATAAATTCCTGCATTTACTTATTCAACTTACATCGAGTACCAGACGTATTCTATAGCAACAGTTCTTATATTGGTTGTGAAAGGAGAAGGGGGAACTGTTTCTGTATTCTTTGACAGGATTGGATGGGAAGTTCCCTTTTGCCTGTACGTTGTGCTCAGGTAGAGGAGTATCCAGAAAAGAACTCACCAAGGGTTCTAATGAAGACGAAGCCTTTGGTACAGGAAGATGAAGAGGTGGGACGGTTTTGAGAAACTGATTGGAAGTGGAAAGACCAGTACCCCGGACAGCTCCCCGCGAGCCAGCACCCTGGACAGCACCTCGAGGCCGGCGGCAGCAATGGAGGCGCTTCCTAAGTCATGCCAGGGCTCAGGACCTAACCTTTTGCTGTGACAGGGGCTCCTAGGCTCTTTGCAATTCCTCACCTTAGTCCCTGGGGTTGGCAATGGACGGAAAGTTTCCTTCTGACCTCAAAGATAGACAGCAAAGGCATTTAAAATCTCAGGCTTAGTAAGCCAGCTCAGGACCTTCCTCCTCCGGACATATCCATCTTCATCTACCCCACTCCCTAAGTTGCCAGGATGTGGTTACCTTGCAGATGGAATAGAAGAGGTACGATGAGACACAGGAAATGGGGAGGCAGTGGGAGGACCACAAAACAGGTCCCACAGCTTGGGTTTAAATACAGGCTTTACTGGGGTCTCCCTGGTGGCACAAGGGGTTAAGCACCGCATTATGAAGCAATCCGCAGCCTCTGCAGCACGAGTTCGATCTCTGGTCGGTCAGGGAGCAACCCACATGGTGTAGCAGACCTCTCCTGACTCTCCTGCTACTCCCCTCAGCAGTGTACTTTGGTCAATCTCCTCTTCTGTTCCCCACTCTGTCTCTGGTGGATCCTCTCCCCCCCCCTGCACCTCTGGTCTGTACCCCAGCTCTTGTATGCATAAATAAATAAATCTTTTAAAAAATAAATAAATACAGGCTTTACTGCTGGTGTCTTGGGTAAGTGACCTAGCATCTCCATTGTTCACCTTCCTCATTCAGTAAGGCAGGAAGAATAACACCTACAGTTCACTCAGACTGAGTGAGGATTAAATAAAACAGCACACACAACACCCTTGGCACAGAGAAGTGCTTAATAAGTGAATCTGTTTCCTTCCATAGAGGAACAGAGGACTGAAGGGTTAGGCATGATCCCAGAGATAATGGTTTCAAGCTCAAGAACAGCCATGAATTATATGGGTCTGAGAGCTGGGAAAGCTTCTCAGCTCAAGGATTTCACTGTTTTCAGTCAGTGATAGAGAGGTTCTACCTTAAACCAAATACCTCCCTCTTTGAATCAGGCAAGGAAAACAAAATATGGGTAAATAACAATTGCTCTGGAGTCTGTGAGACTGTCCTCTTTAAAATGGGAGCCACATCATAATGGGAGCCTCAGAAGAGGTCAGGTCTCAAACTAAATGACTAAAGAGCCAGACAGGTAACATAAATGCACGAAGCCAGCTGGAGGGAGCTGTAATGAGGTAGAGTATGTGTGCATACTGACTAAAGAACTTCCTATAAAATTTAAAATAATTCTCTGACCCCACTGTCTTTTGATAGCACCCATTTCTGCCCAAAAGCTGCAGTGAGTGGGCTCTCCTCTAAACTCTAAATTGAGAGACCAAGACTGAACTCTAGAGAGAGGTTGTGACTCACCCAGTCATTCAGAGCCAGGCCTGTCCCCATATTGCTTTTTCCTTCTCTCAGAGTGCAGTTTGGCTACTGCAGAGCACACTGGCAGCTTCTTAAATGAAAGCTTTTCCTCCTTCCCTGGGATATCTGGGTGGTTGGAGAGATTACACAGGTGTCAAGGCCACTGCCTCTCACCTAACACCCTGTTTCCAGCCTCTCACCCCACAGCCATCTCAGGGACCGAAGCCAACTTTTCAATGTCTTGGCCTCCCACTAGCGAAGACAGAGCCCAGAATTCCAATGCTCACCCAGCCAGACGGACAAGCCAGGAAGCTAGGATGCCTCTGTACCTTTTATATGATTTTCACAAGACCCACAATTGTGAAATGAGGAAAAAACAGCACATTTTACAGATGATAATAACAATAGCAAGTACTTACATCTCTCTTACTATGTGCCAGGCACCCTAAGCAGCAGGTATTATTATTACCTTGTTTCATAGACAAGACACTGAAGGGCAGAGAGATGAAATAGTCCCCTTCCACCCACCATGTTCACCCACCCTAAGCAGTCATGGCAGAGCTGGGAGCCATCTCAGTTGAGTCTCTAAAGTGCAAGTTCTTTGCACTGCATCATCTTGCCTCCTTTGGGGTGAGGAGCACAGGGAGGGAAAGAAAATGGACCTTACACTAGTTTGCTTTTGAGACCTAAAAGAAACATTTTTCACTCTGGGAGAGACAAACTGTAGTCTCAACAGCACAAGTCTCCCAACACCTCCACCTCACAAAGTATCTCCCACCACACACTGACAGAAACAGGGGCTCCACCTGCCATTCAGGGTCAGCGTTCTTTTGGGGGGACACATTAGTCCCAGTTCACAGCCAGTGTGGGCCTAGCTTGTTTGTTTAGAATCCTGAGTGCCATTGGGGCCGCCTTTTGCAAGGTGAGGCTCCCTCCAGAGCCTCTGATGAGAGCAAAGCTGCTGGGTCTTGCTCAGAGAGTGGGAGCAGCGCCCACGCGGGGTTTCCTACAACCCCAAGAGAGGGTCCCGGCCACATCACCTCCAGAGCTCAGCCGGGACTCCGAGGCAGCTCTGGAGATGGGCGAGAGTGTGGGGGGGGGGGCAGGCGGTAGGGAAGGGCGCGGGGCGGGGGGCCTGCTAGGAGCAGAGGAGGTAGGGCTGGGCTTGGCTCAAAGACGACCTGGGAGGAGTTAAAGTGGGGAGGGGGTGAGGCGGAGGGAAGGGAGTGAAGGCGGAGCCCTGAGGGCCGAGGCCGGACAGTGAAAGTCGAAAGCGGGGGTACTGCTTCAGAGAGAGTGGTGAGGCTGTAGGAGAGGGTTGGAAGGACAGGGTTGAAATTCGGGGCCCTGGGTGGGGGTGCCCCTCTATGGTCAAGAATTCTCTGCCGTGACAACATCCCAAAGGTCGGAACCCGGCCCAGCAGTATTACACGTCCCCTCCCTTCCCGGGGTGGAAGGGGCCAGGGGCGGGGCCAGGGAAAAGATTGGGGGGCTCCGTACCCAGAACCCCTCCAGTTACCGTCTCGCCTTCCAGCTGTGAGAACAGGTGGACGTCGGCTGGACTCACTTCGGGGAGGGGAGGGGGCGCTTCTTGCCTGCTGTACGCCGAGGTCCAGGGAGAGGCAGGTACCTGGAACTCACGCGTCGCCCTCGCGCTCCCGGCCAGGAGAAAGCGGTCTCGGAGCTCCCCCTTCCCCAGGGGGCGAAGAGAAGAGGCGAACCCCGCGGGTCCCAGAACTGGGCAGACAAGAGCCCCTGCCTGGCGCGGCGCACCCACCTCCAGGGGCTTGGTCGGGACTCTCCGCCCCAAGACCCCTTCCTGAGCCTTCCAGCCCAGGAGCAACTGGGGGGGGGGGACCCCAGCCCGGCCGCGCCCCGCCTCCGCCCCCGCCCCGCCGACGTCGTATTAGCATGAGCGACGCAAGTAGCCGGGGCACCACTCGGGGGCCGAGACTCGCCGCGTCACAGCCCCGAGTGGCAAGGGAAAAAAGAGGAGGCGACGGAGGAGGAGGCCAGAGCCGGCGCGAGGGGAGGGGAGCGCAGCGGCGGGGTGAGGAGCGCCGGGCGCGCGGCGGCAGCATGCCCCTCCGCCCACACCCGCGGTCTCTCGGCGCGGCGCGCACGGCTCCCGGAGCGCCCGCCGCGCAGCGCGCTCGGTCTCCGGCTCCGGCCCCTCCGGCCCCGCGCTTCCCCTGACCGCCCCAGAGCCCGGCGGCGGGCCCCAGCTCGGCTCCAAACATCCGCGACGTCTCGCCGGACAGGGTCCTCGCTTTTCCCGGGGTGCAGGGCCATGAGCCCTGCAGCCACCTGAGGCACAGGGGGCGCTGCGCGGGGCGGACCGCGCCCCCGAAGTTCTGCACCCCAGTGTCTGCACCGCAGGGCAAGCGCGTCCGCCCCGAGTGGAGGCGTTCTCGGTAGAGCGGCCGGGTGGGGGCAATGGAGCCGTCGGCGCCCACGGGCCAGGCCCGGGCAGCGGCCACCAAGCTGTCAGAGGCGGCGGGCGCGGCGGGCGCGGCGCTGCAGGAGCCCCAGCGGCAGCGGCGCCTGGTGCTGGTCATCGTGTGCGTGGCGCTTTTCTTGGACAACATGCTGTACATGGTCATCGTGCCCATCGTGCCCGACTACATCGCTCATATGCGCGGGGGCAGCGAGAGCCCCACCCCGATCCCCGAAGTGTGGGCGCCCACCCTGCCGTCGCCCACTCTGGCCAATGCCAGTGCCGACAGAGCCAACACCTCGGAGTCTCCGACGGCAGCGTGGCCAGCCGGGCCTGCCCTGAGGCCCCGCTACCCAACGGAGAGTGAGGATATGAAGATCGGGGTTCTGTTTGCCTCCAAAGCCATCCTGCAACTGCTGGTGAACCCCCTGAGTGGCCCCTTCATCGACCGAGTGAGCTACGATGTGCCGCTGCTGATCGGCCTGGCTGTCATGTTTGCCTCCACTGTGCTGTTCGCCTTTGCCGAGGACTACGCCACGCTCTTCGCCGCGCGCAGCCTGCAGGGCCTGGGCTCGGCCTTCGCGGATACGTCCGGCATTGCCATGATCGCCGACAAGTATCCCGAGGAGCCGGAGCGCAGTCGCGCGCTGGGTGTGGCGCTGGCCTTTATCAGCTTCGGAAGCCTAGTGGCGCCGCCCTTCGGGGGCATCCTCTACGAATTCGCGGGCAAGCGCGTGCCCTTTCTGGTGCTCGCCGCAGTGTCGCTGTTCGACGCGCTGTTGCTGCTGGCGGTGGCCAAGCCCTTCTCCGCCTCGGCGCGGGCGCGGGCCAACCTGCCCGTGGGCACACCCATTCACCGTCTCATGCTGGATCCCTACATTGCAGTGGTGGCCGGGGCGCTCACCACCTGCAACATCCCCCTTGCCTTCCTTGAGCCCACCATCGCCACGTGGATGAAGCACACTATGGCGGCGTCCGAGTGGGAGATGGGCATGGTCTGGCTGCCGGCCTTTGTGCCGCACGTGCTAGGCGTCTACCTCACCGTGCGCCTGGCGGCGCGTTACCCGCACCTGCAGTGGTTGTACGGCGCTTTCGGGTTGGCAGTGATAGGCGCCAGCTCGTGCGTGGTGCCAGCCTGCAGCTCCTTCGCTCCTCTCGTGGTCTCGCTCTGCGGCCTCTGCTTTGGCATTGCGCTGGTGGATACTGCGCTATTGCCCACGCTCGCCTTCCTCGTGGACGTGCGCCACGTCTCGGTCTACGGCAGCGTCTATGCCATAGCCGACATCTCCTATTCCGTAGCCTACGCGCTAGGGCCCATCGTGGCTGGCCACATCGTGCACTCGCTTGGCTTTGCGCAGCTTAGCCTTGGCATGGGCCTGGCCAACCTGCTCTATGCGCCAGTCTTGCTGCTGCTGCGCAAAGTGAGCCTCCTGACGCGCTCCCACTCCGAGCGCGACGTGCTGCTAGATGAGCCACCGCAGGGTCTGTACGACGCTGTGCGCCTACGTGAGCGCAACGCACCAGGCTTGGACAGCGGGCCGCGAAGCCCGCCCGGTCCCTTTGATGAGTGTGAGGACGACTACAACGACTACTACACCCGAAGCTAGCCGTCCCTCTCCTCCTCCAGGCCGCTCACCGTCTCCCAGCCCTGGGGTCAAGGTGACTGCTCTGTGAGCGCACTGACCAGCTCAGGTTTAAGGCCCGTCTCCTCCAGCGAGTTCCCCAGCGCCGCCCTGGTCTTGACGTCCCCTGCCCCATCCCTCTCCAAGACCCCTTCAGTGCTCAGCTCCCTTCTGTCCCATGGATCCGTGGCGCGGTGAAGAGCGCACAGCGATGCGCTCGCTCCTGACAGAGACTAAGAGACGCGCGGGCCGATAGCGATACCTTGGGCTCCCCTGTGTAGAGTCGTGCGCCTTTCTGTCCTTCCTTTTCTTTCCTGCCAGTGCCAACTTGGCCCGCTGCACCGCGGTGCCTTCTTCCCGAATTAATAAACCATATCTGTCCGAGACCGAGGAGTCTCTTTACTGGTGAGGGTGGGTGGGGGGCACAGGACAGGGAGATTGAGCTGGGTCTAGCTCCAATCCAGGTCTGAGGCAGGTGGGCAGGCAGGGAGCCTGTGGCTCTTTTGTTACCTGGAAAAGGACTTATAAAAGAAGCAAACGCAACAAGGACGCTCACCCACGGGACACCCTGGTGCACGCACGCCCTTAAGCTCCACAGTCCTTTTCTCCCAGGCCAGAGCAGCACCCCAAGGCGCCACCCGGGGGAGCCCGCTCTTCCCGATGCTCTAGGCACCACCCTTGGAGGATAAGCCAGCACCAGCCACCAAATGCCGAGCCTCCCAGGCCCCGGCTTCCCTTCAAGCCCAGTCTGCCCTGAGCAGCCTATGAAGAGGAGTAGAGGCTGAGCTGTTCTGGGTCTCTGGAAAGTGTGTTCTTTAGAGAACACCGTTCTCTCCCACCAGGAGTGGGGGAACAGTTGTTGGTGTGTTTGGTGTGTCCCTGCTGTGCAGGTCTGAGTGCTGGTGTAAGTAGGGACTGACGAGTGTGCATGTGTGGGAGCTAGTGCCAAATCCTCCATCCCTCCACCCCCAGCCCTACTCTGTCCGTCACCACCCAGGTGTGACCACCAAAGTCTCCCCACCTTGAGTGTGGGTTCCCAGTCCCCTACACCCATGTTTGGGTGCCGCTCCCAGTCTGGAGCCTGGGCCCGCTGACAGCCGCTGAGTGCGCTGGATTCCAGGAGGCCACCATGTTGGTGTACAGCCGAGTATGAGACAAGCCTCTTGGGGGTCTGCTCTGCTGGTGTGTCTGGGGTGTCCTCTGTCTGAGTGTCTGGCCATGTGGGTGTTTGCCTGGGCAGGGGCTGTCCGTGTGTGCCTGCGTAAGATCTACATGGGGGCAGAGAAGAGCGCCTTTGTCTGGGGGAATGTCTGCCTCGGCAGAGTGTCCCTAAGCATCCCCAGGTCTGCAGCCCCCTCCCCCATAGTTCCAGCAAGAAAAAGGTGGGAAAAGAAAAGGAGGATCTGTAGGGCTCAACAAACATGTTTTTTAAAATTATTATCACTATTGTTATTATTATTTTTTGAAAGGAATTGCAGATTGTAGTGGGATTTGAGCTGCCTTAGACGGTGGGGCGGGCACGGATTTCCCCAGAACTAACCTTCCCCAGTCTTCTCAGCCACAGCCTGGTGGGCATCCTAGGGCTGGAGGAAGGTTGGCGCTGGGGCGGATGGGCTGGGGGAGCGACGGGAATGGGCAGCGCAGCGCTCTGCACCCCTTTCTCCCGCTCGGATCCCCTTGCCCTGGTAAGAGCCGGTCTGGGAAGCCGTCTGAGTCGGAGACAGAGACCGGGAGGTGGGACCTCAGAAAAAGGCAGGGGTTGGGGGCGGAGGTGAGGGTGAGGGGGGCGACAGCGGACCTGCGGGGAGAGAGACGGGGTGGGGCTGGGGGAGGGAGGAAAAGCAGAGGCGGGGGAGGGAGGAAAAGGAGGAAGGCGAGGACAGGCGCGGCCGGGCTGCTCGCAGCCAGTCGGGAGGCTGCCGGGGCCGCGCGACGTCGGAGGCTCCACCGCGGACAGAGGCTGCGGCCCCCACCCCCGCGCTGCTGACCCGCCCGCCCCCCCATCCTTCCGGCCAGCCGCCCGGGTCCTGCTGGGTGCGGTGCTCAGGCGGCCCCGGCAGCACAGCCCTGGAGAGCAGGTAAGGGCTGGGCGGGCGCAGCGCAGCGCGGGGAGCGCAGCGCGGGGAGGGGAGCGCGCGGAGCCGAGAGCGATGGGGGAGGATCTGTCCAGCGACCGTGCGGGGACCAAAAGGCTCCAGGATCCGCTGAGTCCTCTGAGCCCCGAAGGGAGCCGTCGTCGAGGGGGAGAGTGTGGAGACCGCAGGATTCCGCGGCTCTGGTGCTTCCCTTTCTAGAGAGGGGCCAGGGACACAGGGGAGTTGCACGATGAGAAGTTGGGGTAGAGCCCGGGGGAGAGCTTGGTCTTCAGGCCCCAGAGCTACACGTTCTTTTTCTCGTTTCTCCGAGACCCCCAAGTGCGAACGTCTGCACTTTCTGTGCCGTCAGAGGGTCGGCAGACTCCACCCGACTTCCCTCAAGTGCGGGCGCAGCACCTGCCTCTCTGACTCTGCGGAGGTGGGAGGTGGGGAGGGGCTTTCAGTGGCAAGTATGAACCAGGTCCCAGGCAATCCCTGGAGCAGAGTGGAAAAACCTTTGATGCCGAGGTTGAGCTGGCTTGGGTCTCCCCTGCAGAGCAGATTCCCCTCCAGGCGGCCTTCAGAAGCCAGACTGGTGGGAGCTGAGTGTGAGCACGGATCCGAGGGTCACAGACCTACTACAGACTGGCAGAAAGATGCAGACATGCATAACACCTTTTAGGCACTTGACCCAAGAGCCAAGGAGGAAGAGGAGCTGGCCAGGGGGTGGGGGGCCACACCCTCTCTTTTGACCTCCCTGAAACCATCCCACTGCTGTCCTCTGTGCCTCTTCAAGACATGAGGTCCCAGAGGCTTAACTAGTGTCTTCTTGCTACGACCCTGGCCGGGGACCAGGGCAAGAGGATGCCTCTGCAGCACTGTCTCCGGGACCTTCACCCACCTGCCCTTGTCCTCAATGCCTCCTCAAGCCTCCCCACACAGGGATGGACCCTCACCTGGGGGCCGCCCCTTCCCCTTTGTGGTAGGTAGGGGCAGCCCCTATGCTCCAGTGTGCAGGTGGGTCTGGAGACCGCTTGGTTTGGAGCAACCTGGCTGGGAGCTTGAGATGGCTTTGCAGTCTCTGTCCAGCAATGCCAGGCAGCCCCAGGCTCTCTACCTCAGGACTTGGTTCATTCACCTTTCTGGGTGTTCTGTCCTGGGGTCAATTGTGCCTCCTGCCTAACCTCCAGCTGGCCTGTGCCTGCTTGAGGTGGGGAAAGCATCAGGTGGGGTAGTGGAATGGACTAAGCAACAGCTCTAGGTTCTTAGGAGAAAACAGGTGATGGGTGAGGGATATCATGGGTGTATGCCCCCGCAGGCTTGGGCTGTGGGGCCTCTGAGGGTCCTACTAGCCTTCAAATCTGGTCTTTGCCCCTGTTGGCTCTCTTGCTCCACTCCTAATGCACTTTCAAAATTGATCCAACAATCTCCAGGCTGAGTCAGGTGGCCCCTAGGAGCCTGGGCTGCCCAGCTCCCTGTTCTACCTCCCTCAGCATTCCTATGCCAGCTAGACTGGCAGCCTGCAGACTAGACACTGCCCAGGTCACTGCCTGCTCTCCCTGCCTTGTCCACAGACCAGGTTCCCACTCAGTGCAGAGCTTCCTGCAAACAAGAGCTTCCGAGGGCCTTGTGGGTATTCAGCACACACTCACGCATTCCTTTTCCTGAGATACCCAACCCTGATCCTGCTCCATACTAGCCACTGGGCTAGGTCCCAGAGATGAAGCCGTGAACACAAATATGGAAGTCTGGTCTTGCCCTGGAGAAACTCATTGTCTAGTGGAAAAGAGATTTTAATCAGCCAGCACATATCTACGGGCCCCAGGCCGGAAGGAGCAAGTGCTCTGCCAATGATCCTAGGTGGATTCTGAGTGGGCAAGCCCAGCCCTGCTCCTTCAAATGCTGCCTGCAGTGGTCATTTGCGTCTGGGGATGGTAGTCCTATAGAGCAGGTGCCAGCTAGAGGCCCATTTCAGGCCATACCCTCTCCCATTTGGGGGCTCAGAGAGGACACTGTGGTGAGGGGGGCTGATCTGAGGGCAGGAGATTGGGAGCAGGTCAGCAATGCGGCCCTGGTACACTACTATCCAGCTTAGGCCTCCCCCTAGGCCTCGAGCAACAGGGGTGGGTTGGGCTGAGATGTCAGATTGTGGGAGGTGAAGTGTCTGTGGCAGGTTTCTGTGGTTGTTGTGTTGATGCCTCCCTACTTCTTGGTCCCCAGGTCTGCACCTCTGCGTGGTCCCCAGCCACAAGTCACCAAGATGCCCATCCTGGACAAAAAGCCCCATAAAATGGCAGCAAAAACTAGGAGTGAGGAGGAGCCCGTGAGTGACTTTTGCATCCCTTTCTAGCATTCCTGCTTGCCCCATTCACATGCCCTTGCTTCCAGACTACTCCTGAGGGGGACTGGACCCCAGCTTTTCACTCTCCTGGATAGGAGGCCCTGCCCCAAGCCTGCTGAGGAGCTCAGGAGGGCCTGGGGAAGCTGGAAGGGGGACTTGGGGAGAATGTTGAGGGAACATTGACAAACACATTTCCTATCCCCAAGGCCAGGGAGAGCCCTTTACCTGGGTCAGGTACTCCCTTTTCTCTGGGGCCCCTCTTGCTCCAAGTTCCATTTCCAATAGCTCTGCCCTAGCACGTGGCTGAATTCCCTCCTCTGGCCTTGTGACATTCCAGCTCCAGCTCCCTCATTCATGCAGCCCCGAGGCCTTCGGTGCCATCTTCCCCTTGACTTGAGACAATACTCCTCCTCCTGGGTGGCCATCCTCTCTCCCCTGCCCCTTCCAGTGGGAAGAGCAGCACACCTGACCCAGCTTGTGTGCTTTGGTTTCTCCACCACACTGGTCTTTTTGCTACCTGCTTCTCCCATCGGCCTGACTCCTGCCCCTCCCACCTCAGGGTTTCATTT